GTCTATCGAGTTCGTGCTGCCCCCAGGGCCCTCTCAGTAATGCGTTTAAACACAGTGCCGCTCTCGATCACCCCGAGGCCCAGGGCCCCGCCCTGCCGTGGCTGCATCTCCAGGCCCAGGCCCGTTTCCTGAAGCAGTCCAAGCCGCAGCGTTTTTAGAGGGATCTCAGTGCGTCCACCCTGCATGCTCTTGGGCATGATCATCTTCCTTTGGCGCAGGCGTTGCGCGCGCTTCGGCGCGTGGATTTCGGCAGTGGAGCTCGAGGCCTGCCATCGGCACGGGATAGATGCCGGCGCGACTTAGCGGCGTGTAGGTAGAGGCCAGCATTGCATATTAAGGAGTGCCCGATTGTTCCGAAGCAGGTTGAAGCACCCAGCGCAGTGAATCGCCAGGCTAGGTTCTGGCAGAGCCTTGCGGTCCAGCTTTTTGCTTGTCTGAAACCTTGTGATTTGTCCGGGGGCGACGCCAGCCGCCCCGCGCCTCGGCCCTGTTCGTGTCGGAATTTCCAGGGGCCCGCCTTCCAACGAAGGCGGCGAAGAGGGGTGCGATGGGCTTGGCACGCGGCCAGCCCGTCTTGCCAGGCCGGCGGATTTCCCCGCGGGTGGCCGGCAAGAAATCATCGAGCTAGCCGAGAACATCGGCGCCAGGTTTGCGAGTCGAGCAGCAGCTGCGCCCGAGACTCACTGGAGGAGGTGGCTCAATGACGGCCCGGCGGGCTCCGCGCGCGCCGCCCGCAAATCACGCGAGCCAGATATTTGTTCCACTATATAAGGTCGTGTTAATGGAGGGGGGGGTTGCTGGAGGCACGCCTGCCCCTGGCGCGCGGGACAGGGGCCCCGACGCGATCCCTCCTTCGCCTCGTTAAACATGCCGGCAATGAGGCCGAATAATCTTTCCTGGAGCTTCTCATTGCGATCGAAGACTCGGTCACCCTGCCCCATTGCTCTGCTCGACAAGCCTGACCGCGGTCTCCGCCCCGCGGCCTCAATGGGCTTTGCGCGCATCGTCTTGCTGCGCCCCGGGCGCCCCGAAGCGTCGGCCCGGGAACGCGGCCGCCGCGGGGGCGCGGGGCGCGACCGCGGGCGGGGGGGCTGGCGAGGCGGGGGGGGCGGATGAACTCGACGCGGAAATTGTTCTTTTGAATGGCCTCATAGTCAGTGGCGGCCCGGTCGACCTCACCAAGTTCTGCGACCAAGTTGGCATGCCAGAGCCGGCTTCCCAGGCGACAAGTTTCAATTGCCCTCTTCGCCCCCTTGCGCTCGCTGCGGAAGCTTATATAGGCCCCCGTCTTCTGGCCCTGGACCAGGCTGCGCGCCCGGGAGTTGCCCCGACAGGGGGGGCGCTGCCCGGACGTGGTCAGGCTGCGCCTTTTTCGCGCGCGCGCAGTTGCGCGCCCCCCTGAGCGCCGCGCATGCTGTGCACAATGCGTTTCGCACCAGGCAGTGGATTGATGGCGTCGCTGTCCGTGCGTTCCGCATTGCGATGTGTTTCCCCAGGTGGTCCGCGCCCTGGCTTGGGGGCTCTTGGGAGTTCGAAGCCAGATCTCGATCCCGAAGTGCGTGTTCACGGCGTCTCATCCCCGGCTGCGAGAGCTTCTGCCCGAGCTTGCGTCGGGCACTGCGCTCGAGGGCGCCAAGCCAGTCGCCGCCGCTAGAGCCCTTGGCCACGACGCTACGCTCGGCAGCAGGCGCTCCGCCATGGTGCGCGCAGCCAGGGTAGGCCGCGGTTTTGCAGTAGCTGGGAAGATCAAGCGGCGCGCGAAAACTGACCGGCGAGCTCCCGAGCTCTTCTTCACGAGTTCGCATCCAAAGTCCACGCGGGCTGCAGAAGTCCACGGAATCTGCCCTTCGTCCCTGAAGCGTCTCCGAAGCAGCGCTCGCGCCAGCAGTTTGGCCAGCGGCAGAGGCGCGCGCTGCGCCGCAGCAATCCGCTTGACTTTCGGGGCCGGGCGCGATCCAGCGCAAGTGCGCGTCCGTCGCCTCGTCGCCACGTGGCCGGGCGGGCTCGGGGGCGCCCCGGGCTTCTGGAGCGCGCTGAGTCCGTCCGGGACTGCTCTTTGGATCGCGTCGAGAAGGACTGGGCTCGGGGGCGGGGGTGGGCCCTGAGCGCGCTGCAGGCCGCTCCAATCCATCTTGGATGGCAGGCGCCCATTCCTTCGTAAATGTATTAACTCTTCTGGAGAGGAGTGGGCTTTAGTGAATGGCGGTGACAGTCCTGCCACGCAGCTGTTGCAGGATCTAGATGGCACCATCGAGCCCAGTCAGTGGCACGATGCCTCGAAGTGTTATCTTGGGAGAGGCGCCGAGCGGGGGCTCTCCTGGCAGCACGTAGGGAAGTTCACTCGGCGCTCAGTCAAAGAAGGTGAGGCTGCTTCGGCCGCCACGGTGCGAGCTGTAGCTCGTGGCGGTATTTCGCCAGAAGAAAGGAAGCACGATTGCGCTCTCGCGCCTGACCCCCAGTGCCGGCGCTTCCTGAGAGATGTTGAAACACCCAATCGCAGAATTTGTTCTTGCAATGCCGATAATGAGATTGTCAGGGTCCAGGCCAGTGCGTATTTAAGGCATGGGGCTGTCTCCGAATTTGACGCCTGCCCAATCTTGTGGGACTGGGGCCCACCTCTTGATTGACTCCCTTCCTCCTCCGCCCGAGCAGCGTCTCCTCGAGCACCGCGGGCGCGAGCCCTCGGAACCCTTCCCTGGAAGTATTCACGGGGCCGACGCTGCAGGAAGTGCTTGGTCTAAGCACCCTGCGTTGCGCCGAGTGGCCTTTGCTTTCGCCGGGCTGGACGTCTCTGGGGATGAGTTTTTCCGGAACCATGGGGTCGCGGGTTTGGTCGGGTGCAAAAGGCAGACGGTCCCGAGGGGTGATCTCACAGGCCTGCTTGAGGCCGTTCGCCATGTTGCCAAGAATGAAGACCTGATTCGTGCATGTGATCAGATAAATCATGTGACTGCCGACCATAAAGGAAGGCACCGTGCGCATCGCCTTTCCAATGCAGATCTGCAGTAGGAACTACGGCACCTTGTTTCTCAGCGCGCGGCTGACACTCATCTTGCGCATTCCCCCCCCGCCTTGATAATGCTGACCAGTTCCGCAGGTTCTGGCGCACGGCAGTCGCTGAGCATGTTTATGTTAATCGTGCTGCTGGCTTTCTTGCTGACCAGCGCGCCGAATCTGCTCAGATCCAGTCACATATCGGCCGAGAGGTGTTTGTTTTTGAAGAAAAAGGCGAAGTATATCCTGCTGCGTACTGCCTCCCTCACGGTTGCTATTGCTTCTCTTCCGAAGGATCGTTCGCGCGTTGTCGTTAAGAGTCTTGTGGGCCGTAAAGAGAAGGCTAAGAAACGCAGGTTGGATTCATCCGAGCTTCGTCGCACCAAAAAAATATTGACACCCCCTGGAGGTGCTCTGGGTGCGGCCTCCATGCCCGTTGGAGATCCAGAGGTTTCTGGGGCTCTGTTTTGTCGGCTTGCCCCGCCTTGGGCCCCAGGCCTCCCGCCCCGCTCCCCAGGGTTGTCCCGTCCCTGGAGCCCGAGGCCCCCGTGGATGAGTGGTTTTGGCGTCGTTTTGGTTTGGAGGATCCGCCCCAGAGAGGTGCCCACCCTGCCCTTCTAGCGGGCAAGCAATTGAATTCAAGTCACGAGCTCTGGTATACGGGGCGCTTTGTTTTTTGCGGCCTGTGCGGGTCTTGGGCCACTCAGCGACCAGACAACCTCCTGACTGGTTGGCTTGAGGGCCCACACACAATCTCCCCGAAGCAGTTGCAGAATACCAGCGAGCACGCAGGGGTAAGCAGCCTCAGCAGACTGCCTCTTGTTGGGGCGAAGCTTGTGCCATCGAGTTCTAAGTTATGGCACCGTCGAGTTCTAACATGCTGGCAGAGCTTGGCTTGATGATGCACACAGTGAAAAATCACTCACAGACGAGGTTCCCGCCTGATACTTCCTCCATATTCATGCCCCAGGGGCCCAAAAGTGACGACGCTCAGATTATTCATATGAGTTGCGGGCCCCATAGGGAGGAGGTTCCCGCCTGAGACTTCCTCGCAGTCACTCACAGACGAGGCTCCCGTTTGGGTGGGTTGGTGGGCTAGTGTGTGTGGGCGAATGAGTGAGTGATGATGATGCGTGTGTACATGGGTAAATGCGAGAGTGTTGACGACGATGGTGGTGATAGTGCGCATGAATGGGTGAGTGGGTGAGAGTGAGTGATGATGGTATGTGCAAGTGATTGAGTGAGTGTGCGAAGGGAGAAGAAAGAGAGAGAGAGAGGGGGGAGGAGGAGGAGAGATCCTGCGAGGAGAGTGTGCAGAGAAAACAAGAGCCCCACTTTGGATGCGGGTGTTCCTGTGTTCCTGCGCGGGGCGTCCAGAGAAAACAAGATACCCACTTTGGATGTGGGGGAACAATCACAGCACACGTTTCATGTTTAGGTTTTCGTCCGCGTCAGTCTTCGTGTCTCGAGCTTGTGAATCGTGCTCAATTGAGCAAGCCTGCAGGCAAACGGACACACAAGCAACCAATGCAACATGCAGGTAGGAAGCAGGCGGCCACACAAGCAATCACGCAGGCAAGGCAGTGGCGCAAGCGGGCAAGCAAGCAAGCAATCACGCTGGCGAGCAAGCATTGACGCGATTCTGATTCACGTTGGTACACCGAATCGTTTTCGACTCGGACCCATCGTTGGGACGCGATCGTCCACTCGCAATCTCCTTACGCACACCGATCCGGATGGCGGCTGAGGGGCGGCCACCTTGAACCAATTCCTCAATGTCGAATCAGAAACGCGGGCACTTCCAGCTGGAATCATCATCATCAGCATCATCATCAGCATCATCATCAGCATCATCATCAGCAGCATCAGCGCAGCATACTTATCATCAGCGCCAGATGCAATCTTTTCCCAGGGAGGTGGGCATCCACTCGTGTCGACTTGTTCGATCTGGCGTCTGGCCGCACTTGTTGCGTGGAGCGTGTGTGCTCGCGGCTCTGGCGTGGCAGGTTGACGACCGCACGCTCGAGGGCCAGCGCCGCGAGCTGGAGGTCCCGGAGGCCGTCCTACCATTCCACAGCACGAATTTCTCGCGATTGACGGCCAAGGATCAAGGGAGGAAAAACCCTTTTCCCCTCCCCCCTCCCTCCCCTCCCCCCTCCCCCCCTCGCCGCGGGCGGAACACTACAGCCAAGGCGCTGGAAGAAGGGCTGCTCTGGGTTCGAGAGGGGCTCGCTGTCCCTGAGGCCGTGCCGTGGCTGTTCCCCCAGCCCCTCCTCGTGCACCCAGGCTCTTCTGGTGCCAAGAGTCAAGGGAGGAGAAACCACTCGGACCCGACAACTGGCGTTTACTACACGGCCCTGGGTTGTTTACTAAACAGCCCTGCCCTGCTTGATTCCTTTTGTGGGAGCGTTTACTGAACGGTTTCTCGCGTGTCGGGGTGATGATTGTGGGGGGGGGATTTTCGGCCTTCGAAAGGACGCGCCCGCGCGCAAAATGCCCCCTCACAGGCCGCGTCCCCCCCTCCCCCCTTGCAGCGTGGACCAGGTTCCGCAGGGCCTCTAGAGGTAACCACCTGGTCCGAAGCTGGGCTGGCCAGCCTGGTGCACAGCATTCGGCCCTCCTCGGTGATGCTGGGCAAGCTCGCCACCCGTCGTGCTGCTTTGCGGGGGGGAGAGGGGGTACATGATGGATCTCGGGAGTGGCGTAGATTGTTTCCAGCTGCGCCGCCGCGCGAAACCGCCACCGCGCTCGGACGGGCGCCTGTGGGAGGGGGAGGGGGGAGGGGGGAGGGGGCGGGGGGGGGGCGCTGAGCGACACAGGCCACGGAGGGTCGTACCCGGACTTCTGAATGTAGGGCCAATGGCGTAGTTTGTATATTTCACGTTGAGCATTCGCGCTCATTTGCATTCCCCCTCGACCAGGTGCCAAGGCGCTTGCCTCCCATGGACCCAATTTGAGCCAGAGAACCCCAAGGAATCCCAGGGATCTGTCACAGAAGAGCGTTTGTTTCCTCACACATGTGTGTTTGATTTGTCAGCGAGTTTGGTCGTTTACCCGCAGTCCCCAGATGACAGCGCTAATGATTATCATTTGGGCCTTCTGGGTCGCAATGCCATTTCTTTTGCAGCGAGCACGCCGTACCAGCATCACACCCTGTTATCTAATGCATGTTCTCCTCACCATGCTGATATTCTGGAATATGATTCGTTATGCGCAGCTTCTACAATCCTACGTGTACGTCTGTCGCGTCGGGCTATACACTGGCAGTGCCTATATGCGCACGGTGCTGCGCACTGTTCAGCGTAGTGCCGCTCTCGCACTGACATCAGTATCCTTGGGCGCTCGCCTTCTGCTGTAGAAGCGTTCGCCCCAGTTGCTCGTCGGCAAAGTCTTGTGCGGTGACGCACGCGGACAGCGAGGCGTGGCTTGCCAACCTGCCCCTGGAAGACCGAGGCCGGCGTTCAAATGGACCCGTTCTGGCGTGGTGTATTGTACCTTTCAAGTCGGCCAGATCCCAAATGGCCAGCTGGGGTACTGACAGGCTCGTCGTGTAGTTCTGGGTGGGTTGATAAAGTTGTGCGACCGACTGGTGGTACATCACAGCATGCTTCGGCAAAGAGACTGACCATCATTCAGTGCACCCTTGTTTTGACAAGTGGTTCGTTTGCTCCCAGAACGGCTGATCCGTTTCCCTGCTATGAGTGGCAGGAAGAGGGGAGGAGGGTGTGAATGTGTGCCAGCGGAGCACAGTACGGCATGATATGCCATCTAACCGTTCGGAGAAGGGGGTGGCGGGGGAGGGGTATGGACCGAGTTTGCGCCGAACGGGCGCAAGAAGACGACATGTGCTACGTATATTGACAGGGTGATGGGACCCAATTGACCCTGGTGACACAGGCGGCCCCGCTGGCGCAGCTTACCCCGTTGGCCCAAGCGGCCCAGGTGGGGCAGATGGCCGAGGTGGCCATGGTAGCGTAGGCGTCACGGGTGGTTTGGGTGGCCGAGTTGCCCAGGAGACCCAGGTGGTTCGGGCGGCCTTTGCTGCCCAGGTGGGCCAAGCGACCCATGTGTTCCAGGATCTCCGAATGGCATACATGTCGCTGGTGTTCCACGCGGCCCATATTTGCTCTCTCCCCCCTACGCCTCACACTGTCATATCCACATATCCGTCCCCTGCGCCTTCCTCATCCGCAAGTCACCCTTTCCCTCTCAGCTTTCACCCTGCCCCTCCCCATCATGAGATGAGGAGTGGACGAGGACGAGCTGACATATGATGTTCTTCGCCATCGCATTCCTCCTTCTGCCCTCCTCGGACGTGGCAGGACATGGACTTGGGACCCTCAGAATGGAACACCTTGAACAGCAAGATTTTCGGTGCCGCCTTTGTTTCCTGTGAACAAGACGCGAAGTGGGAGATTGACGAGGAGGATAAAGGGTGATACACATTGTGAGGACGATGAGGCACTAGAGTAGTGGAGGAACGTTCTGACATAGGAGAGGGGAAGAGGGGCGGGATTAAGGAGAGGAGGAGGGTACGCACACACATACATAAATAAATATCGAGAGAGAGAGAGAGCAGATCGTGGTATTGATGGTGGTTGAGCGTAGGTGGATGGGTGACGACCAGTGTGTTTCACACGGCTCCGTGTGGCGTCTTGTGGTCGGGTTTCGCGGATGGTTGGTCAACAGGTGCGCCAATGGTGTGGACGATTGTGAGTTAGGTCGTGCACGCAAGAATGAAGCATGCACATCGACGTTGAGTCCATCCAATATCGATGAGGTTTGAGTTGCGTTTGCGGGTATCATGAGGGACACGCGCATGAGAGGCATTGCACATTCCGCATTGCTCCCCCCATATTCTTGCCCCCATGATTTGTGTCCCCAGTTGTTTCCCATGACTTTTGTCCATCCTTTATTGCAGCCTCCGCTCTCCAGCCGCCGCTCTACTGCCTGCGTCCTGATCCGTCTCGTGTTGAGGGATACGTCCGACTACAGCGGGATGGAGAACGGGCGTTTGCGCGCTCACCGACAATTGGTTGTCGCATGTCACGTGTATGTTCGGCCAATCGATTTCATTTGCACGCGTGCTACTTCTGTACAACAAGAGCACGCACGCCACGCTGCCAGCACAGCGCATATTTGATCATAACGCATGCGTGGCCCTTCTTACGGCATGGTACGTGCGTGCTGTTGTCAGTCTCTCCTCATGCCCATCCCACCCCCTCCTCTCAGCCCTCATCCAACATCACATATCCCCTCTCGCCCGCCACTCCCCACTTCGCCCTCCTCCCCACTTTCCTGCATCCCTTCACCTCTTCCTCCTCCATCCCTCCTCCCCTCCTCGCCCTCCGACCAGCCTGCGCACCGCAGCTTGCTTGCCGTCTTCCCTGCTCCGACCGCTCGTGGTCGGCTTCAAGCGCGAAGCGTGCACAGGCAACCCGGGCCACAAGCCCCCCCCCCTCAGGCTCACCCCATGTGCGAGCCCAGCGCGCAGACGGGGGCACCACGGGAGGAGCCGAAGGGAGGAGGCGCCCCTCCCCGCAGCCCCTCAGGCTCGCCCCAGTGGGACTCCGAGGAGACCGAGCCGTCGGATAGCACCGAGACCAGGTCGGCCCCCCGGCAGGGGCGGCCGAGGGTCAGGGGGGGGGGGGGGGGGTGATCGCATGCCGCATGCCTTGCGTGTGGGCGCGTTCCACAGACGAAGCCAGAGGTCCGATTGGAGGTCGCGAGGGGACGAAGCGGCACGAAACTGAGTGGATGCCGTGGGCGTACAGGTTTATTGCGGTCTGTGTGGTGTTCTGCAGAGCCGGGGTTTGGTTGTGACGCACTGCGTCTGCCTCCGTTTCGGAAAAGATGTCATCTGAATCGAGGCCTCCTGTGTCAGATGATGCCGCGTATGACGGCCAGGAAGTAGCAGCAGCGGGTGGGCGACGTCAC